AGTGAGGATTTTCATTTGCCCAGGTATGAGTATTTTTTCTATTATAAATGCCAGCTGTTGTAAAAGTCGCCTCATCAGTCCATAAAATCTTTTCAAAATAGTTTAGGTCGCCATTTTTCAAGCGCAGCATTTCTCTGCAGTACTCTGATCGATAATTTTTTTGATTTTGGGTGAGTTTCTGGACCGGCATAGTTTTATAGGGGCGGTATTTATATTTATGTAACGTTCTAATAATTTTACTTTGGCTTATTTCTGTCTTGAAGCATTTACTGTGGACTCTTGTGGCCTTTCTACAATAATTAATATTTGAATTTACCATGGTAAACCTCGAATGAATATTTGCTTACTTTGAAAATAGAGTAATATAGTTAGTTCGAATTCTTCATTTGGAATAATTCTTCGTTTCTGTCTTCCAATAGATTTTGTTTCTCTAAAGCGTCGCTCAATGTCGCAAAATGCAGCTCGAGATGGAATTGAAAACCAGGGATGCAAACGCGCATACTCGGCGCGCGCTGCATTCACATTATTATCATTCTTGTAAAATAAACGGATAACCTGAAATTTTTCGTTCTCACTAAATATTATTTCTTTGTTAAAATAGTTTGTTACAGGAAATAAATTAATGATGATGTTTGTTTCGCGTGCCTCATTCATAGCCACTGCTATCCGTCAGACATAAATTTCCCTCCTGTTTTTTCAAAAATATTTTTAAACTGAAATATGTCGAAAAGTCCTGATTCAAATAGTAACGTATTATACAGGGTGTCTCATAATTAGCTGCCAACCCTGAACAGGCCGATTCTATGATCAAAACTAAGTAAAAAAGTTCATATGAACATGGGTCCGGAAATGCTTCCTAAGGGCACAGGGACCCATTGAAGAGGGAGGAATGGAAATCATTTTTTTGCAATATCTCTCAATCGCGTTGTGATAAATGAATGAAATTTGGTATACACAGCTAAATTTTATTCATTTATCACAACGCGATTGAGAGATATTGCAAAAAAATGATTTCCATTCCTCCCTCTTCAATGGGTCCCTGTGCCCTTAGGAAGCATTTCCGGACCCATGTTCATATGAACTTTTTTACTTAGTTTTGATCATAGAATCGGCCTGTTCAGGGTTGGCAGCTAATTATGAGACACCCTGTATA